GGAGCGTGTGTCATTCATCTGTGCCTCCTCGGAGGCATCCCGGGGACAGCTGAGGTGGGCTCCCTCCGGCTCCCCTTTCTCCGAAACAGCAGGCACCGTCTCTGGGGCTGCAGCAGCCTGGAGGTCAGTCCCACCTTTGTCTGGTAAGGCTCCTGGCAAAACCTGGATCCCGTTCTCCTGGCGCAGCAAGACTTCCGGAACGGGCGGGTCCTGGGCGCTGTGTGACAACGCCGTTCCCCTGGCTTCCGCAGTTCCTTGGAGCGCGTTACCCACTGCCACATCCAATGCCATGTTTCCACTCGCCTCGCAAGCAGCGGTCTCTCCCTGGGCTTGAGCGTCTGTCACTCCATCCACAGCAAAAGGTCCATTGCAATTAGGAGCCCGAGATGCATCTGGGGACAGACCCGGCAGCAGAGGTGAGCTGCTCTGCTCCGCACCCACGGCTTCCTGGCCCGCGTCTGCGGCCAGACCTGCTCCCGGTGACACCGGGCTCTGGGCGGCCCCACCTTCAGTCAGCAGTGAGGCTGGTGGGGCCACTTCCTGGTTGTGTTTAGTTTCTGCATTCAGACAGGCCGAGGGTGTGCCCCGGGAACCACCGAGTTCAAGTGCTTTGTCCCGGGCACAGGCAGCTGCGCCAGGTTCTCCCTGGACCCCTGGTGACTCCTGTCGCGGAGGGTCTGTTCCCTGCTCTTCCCGCAGCGCCCCTGAAGGAGGCGTGTCCTCCTTAGTGGAGGAGCAAATCACTGCTTTAAATCTGTCACCTTGTCCATGAGCCGCAGAGCTTTCTGGAACCACCGGGCTGTTTCCTTCTTCAGTCAAACTGGAATCAGAGGCCAAGGGGGCCTCAGCCACATGTAGCTGGGAAGAGTCGGTGCCCCCCTCCATGGTCCTAACTTCAGGGGCTGCTGGGAGGCAGGGGTCCTCCTGCTCCCCGCCAAATCCTCCAGGACTGGCGTTCCCCATGCTGGGCTGAGGATCCAGGGCAGTGGGGGGTGTGGGCAGGCCTACTGCACGGTCTTCTAGTGGCTGCTTATCTGGATCACTCCAATCTCCGCCATCTCTACAGTCTGTAGCGGTATGTGGCTGGGGAGTTGCTGTTCCCTTTTCGTTCTGGGAGGGGACAAGAGAAAGTGCGTCATCTTTCGTTACTGATTCACTGCCTGGACTGCCTGCCGGAGAGAAAGTCCTGCCTGATGTCACCGCCCGGTCTGGCACCGGCTCTCGCTCTGCTTTGGGGAAAACAGCGTGTGGAGGCAGCTCCACTTCAAGCGCGTTTGTGAGAGGTGTTTGTGAGTTCACACCTCCTGTTTGGCCCTCTTTATCCAAAACTTCAAGGGGACAAAAACCCACATCTTCCTGGGTGTCTCCTACAGGGACAGGGGTGACGGGCTCAGCCTGTGGGCCTTCCGGGCAGACGGCAGTGGGCGGAGGCTGTGCGTGGGGCGGGCCTGTGGCCGGGCCTCCAGGCTGGGTGACTGTGTCATCACGATGCTCTGCAGCCAGCACACCACTAGACGTCACTGTGCTCTGTCCACTGGCAGGGGCAGCTCGAGGTTGGTCGTCTCCAGGTGGAGAGCAGATGGGTGGCTTGTCGTTCTGGCTCTGAAGATGAGGTGAATTCGTTTCTGCTTTCTCCTTCGGCAAAGCATCATTCTGTGGCCGGGGGAAGGGTAGATCAGCGGACGACACTGCCCCACCCGTGTGTGCTAAGGGAGCGTCCATCTTGCCATTTGCAGCAGCTGGAACGCTGGCAGGGCTCTGATCACCAGCACTCGCGTCACAACGTCTGGAAGTTTCTGTTTCGGCAGTTTTTTCAATAGGGGCTCCTCCATTACTCACTACAAGTACCAACTCAGCAGGCGTCTCACCGTCCAGGGAGCTGGTGGCAGACACGCAGTTTGGAACCATGGCTTTATCCACAGGCTGCCTGGTGTCTTTGACGTGAGAGGCTCCAGCTGCACCGACATGAGAGTTCTCCAGTCTTTCCTTTGTCCTTTCCCCGGCTTCGAGCACCTTCTTCTGGGTGGTGGCATCTGGGTTCCTGAGACCACGCTCCGTTCCCTCTGCGGTCTCTGGGACACCAGCATCTCCTGTTGACCTGCTTTCCTGTTCACCTGCAGGGAAATGCGGGGCCGGGCCTGACTCCATGAGTGTGACTCCCGGCAGGGCAGCACCCCCACTGCTCAGAGACCCCTGGGCTGTGGCCGCTGTGGCCGATTTTGCTTGAGTTTCTTCACTTCCGATTTCACAGGGTGGAATGCCTTCTGTCCCCTTCTCCCCACAATCAGACATGCTCTGAAGGCAGCTTTGGGGATTAGACCGAGTCTCAGAGTCCACGGTAGGCTCCGCCTCTTCCTCTTTTCTCTCCACGCCTTTATTTTTCTTCCTACAGGAACAATCTGTGTTCTCTTCCTTGCCCGCGCTGGAGAAATCAGAGGGACGTTCCACCTGCGAGGCCGGGATCCCGGGGCCGTGTGGAGAGCTCTCCGCACCGGCAGGAGGAGAGGAAGGCTGCGGGCTGTCCGTGGACCCTGATGCGCAGGGAAGGAACGAGCCATCTGCATCTTGGGCAGTGAGCAGACCTGAAGGATCCTGGGCTGTCACCATTAAGGGCATAAGATTGTCCATCTGCTTGAGGTTTGTTTTCTAAGAGGAAATGAAAGAAATTTTTTAAAAACTGTTCATGGGAAAAGATGTCACTGACACCCACAACAAAAACCCAGTTGGAGAAAACTGACTACCATTCCAGCTCTTCTGAGGCTACACGATGAGCTGATCTAAATAAAGACAGAGAAGTTTCTCCTGTTCCTGGTATCACTTTTCTCCCTTATAGCTCCATAGCCGATGGAATGATAAAAATAAACAATAATATAAAAGGTGGGCCCAGCCAGTGTGACTCAGTGGTTGAGCATCCACCTATGAACCAGGAGGTCATGGTTCGATTCCCAGTCAGGGCACTTTCCTGGGTTTCAGGCTCGATCCCCAGTGGGGGGCCTGCAGGAGGCAGCCGATCAATGATTCTCTCTCATCACGGTTGATATCCCAAAGATTCAGGATTTCATTAATTGTTCCATCCCCCTCAGGAGAGGCCACAAATGAGTTAAATAAAAACTACAGGATTGCTCCCTAACGATGTCATTTTGATCAAGATAAAAAAAAGCTGGTTTCTCTCTCTCCCTTCCTCTCTGAAATCAATAAAAATAAAATAAATAAATACGTAAACAAAAGCTTCTCTGCTATGCTCCTTAGCATAGTCAAAATTAGCTTGCTTCCAGTTCCTGTTGAAAGCATAACAGTTTCCTAAAAATTACGAACGCAGTTCATTAAATTTAATAACAGGCAAACATTTCAGAACAGAGACTGGCAGAAACAAGTGGCATTTCTTGAAAAAACATTAGATGCTCCTAACACATGCATCCTCGGACAGTTTCTGTGTCTCATGTTCTTTATCAACGATTCCCATACCTTGAGGTAGCTTTAACACCTGCAAACTGATAGTTTCAGCTGGACTCTGATTCACCCAGGAAGAAAAGCCCGCAGGAAAGCCTGACTTCCAGCCAGTCATTCACAGGAAAATAATATGACACCTGTTCATATCGGGAAAGGCAGAGGCAAGCTCCGCATCCAATGCAGTGCGTCGGCCTGCTGGCCTCAGAAGTAATGCCTGCTCCCCAAGAAGCTTCTGGCACTGAGCTGACCCTAGATGACCTTAAATGAAATTATTGCCCAGCTTTTTCCAAATCAAATCATCTCTGAAATAAACTGGGTGGAAAAATGATCTAAACTTAGCCTTTCAGATGTTATGGCCGGAGAGCGGTACCCACATGACGTTCGTATTATCCATAATCAAAGCTATCAGGGAGTCTGTAATGTTTTTATGTCTGGCAACAACTTCATCTTGGAGGCCTTGAGTGGATTATAAAATCTTTTTTTTTTTAGTGATCTTTGTACCATATAACTATCGATTCAAATACAGCAGCACTATCATCACTCATTTAAAAAGTTGTGAAAAGGCTTTTTTCTGAGGAAATCTGGTTCTTGTTCTTTAGCAACAATATCAGAAGCTACTTTGCCCATTTAGTTTTAGAAAGTTAAACCAACAAATTTATAAAGACAAACAGACAAATTTCCTTTCATGCCAGGAAAATGTAGTTCCGGTTGTTACATATTTCTATATCTGCAATGTGTCTGTGTATCTTTCATTACTACACAATCCAATAAAAAATTCTCTCAGCCTCCTACTGCTACAAACCCAATGCTAGTTCTCATCTATAAGCAGAAACACTGAATATTGCTAAAACACTGAATATTGCTTTATTTACAGGTTTCGCAATCTTTAAGGGAAGCGTTTTGTTTTAAATATAGCCAAGGTTCACTGGGGGAAGGAGTGAGGGTACAGAGGCCTTCGAATGGAAATTTCTGCCTTACCATTAGCTGCTGTTGGATGTTCATAAGTTTAAAAATGTGCCCAGTGCAGCTGTCTGCGGGAAGTGGGGGTTCACGGTGTGCCCGGGACTCTGAGGTGAGTGTGTAGACATCCAGCTCCCGGTGATGCCTCACAGAACAGTCCCCACAGGGTATTTCATAGGACAAACTGCTCCAGGAGTCCGGTTCTCCAGCATTCTCCCTGTAAGCAAGCAACCTATGGTTAATGCAGCTCCGTCCCGCCTCCCAGGCACAGGCTGGACCCTAAGTCTCACACAGTATTGCCACCCTGCTTTTTTTTTTAATTGATTTCTGAGATGGGGCGGGGGGCGGGGAGAGAAACATCAATGATGACAGAGAATCATTGATTAGCTGCCTCCTGCACGCCCCACATTGGGGATCGAGCCCGCAACCCGGGCATGTGCCCTGACCGGGAATTGAACCGTGACCTTCTGGTTCATAGGTCAACGCTCAACTACTGAGCCACGCTGGCCGAGCCCTGACTGCTCTTTGAGGCTCTGCAGGAGAAATCTGGTTTGGACAGTTCCCCAGTGATTCGGATATCACTAATTGTTCCATCCTCCTCATGAGGCCACAAATGGGTTAAATAAAAACTACAGGATTCCTCCCTAAGGATGTCATTTTGATCAAAATAAAAAGAAATCTGGGTTCTTAAAATAGTTAATGTTATGCTAACAACCCAATAATGAGGAAATGTAAGGAGGATGACTCTAGCCTGGTTTTCAACAGAAGCCAGGCTTGTTAAACATTTCTCTTAAAACTGGCTACACCATAGACGGTTATATTGGGTATGGAAGAGCCTATCACCCCACCCATTGCAATGCAAGGGCACTCCAACTGTTGTTAA